CTATCTATCTATCTATCTATCTATCTATCTATCTATCTATCTATCTAATAGCTATATGATGGGCCTGCGCAATAGGAGGGGACTTGACACTTCTGTTCTCTGTTTATCTGAGACTAACAACAGATGAGAAGTTGGGGTAAAGCTATTAAGGAATACTATTGTGTCTCTAAGCTTCACAGCTGAGGTGGATGTCATGTGAAAAACTGCCACCCTGTGTAAAGAAAAAGGACAGTCAATTTTTGCTTTAAGAAAAGCAGACCAGGTAATACGTCAAATTGTAAGAGCTTTGAACGTGTACTCAAGTGCAGTTGCAAAAACCATCAAACGCTGTGATGAAACTGGCTCCTATGAGGACCGCACCAGGTTGGGAAGACCAAGACTCACCTCACCTGCTGAGGATAAGTTCATGAAGTACGCTGGCCTTAGAAATTGACACTTAACAGCACCCCAGATAAGGAGTTACATGAATGCATCACCGAGTTTAAGTGTTCGGAGGAGACTGTTGACAGAAACCAGTAAAAAGAAGAAGAGGTTTGTGTGGACTTAGTTCAGATCTCCAGGTGATCTGGCTTCTGATGACCTGGCCTCCGCAATCACCCGACCCAAACCCATTTGAGGCGGTTTGGGATAAATTGGAACTCAGAGTGCGAGAAAAGAAGTCTGCAAATGTTCAACTCATCTGGGAACTCATTCAGGATAGTTGGGCAAGCATTCCCAGTGATAACCTGATGAAGCCGGTAGGGAGCATGCCAAGAGTTTGTGAAGCTGTCATTGAGGGAAAAGGTGGCGACATTAAAGAATGTCAATTACATTTTTTTCTGCCTACATTATTTTTATTTCACTAAAGAGCAACTTAAATGCAAAATCCTGAGTTGTGTCTTAACTTTTGCGCTCACCGAGTGATATTCACTAAAGAACCTAAATATGTTCTCAAACTTTGTTAAACTATTTGTCATGTGGCTGGGGCACAAGAGCTGCAACCTGCTATGTGGAGAGAGTACAATAAAAAAAACAACAACACTAACTATAGTAAGTTATTTATTTTCATTGTTCATGCTACATGCCTTGAACAGTTTCTTCGAGGGATGTACCAGTACTTGATTCTGATTGTTTTGCTAACAGCATGAGGGAACTTTAAAGAATAGCTGCAGTTGAAAATCGGCTTCTCAAACCCATTCACAGTTCCAAAAAAGTTTGGACAGGGCCACGTTTACCACAGTGTTTCCCCCTCTCTGTAAACAAGAGATCCGAGGTTTTCCAGTGGGTCAGACTGCAACAGCCCTCTTTGCTTTAAAGCCCAAAGCCCCTCACTTTTCATATAAGAACTTGCAAATCCTTTGCAATGAGAGATATCATCGACATCTAAGGAGAAGTCCAGTTGGGATTACCAGAGAAATGTTCTGCTCTGTCTGATATGAGATTATGTCTGCTCAAAATTCTTTTATTTTTGTAATTTGATTTTCATGAAATGCCAAATGTTCACAGCTGGTCAAAGGACTGGACTACTGGACTACTCTTCTATTAAGAGGGCTATTTTTCTATTAGGAGGATGTCTGTTATAGATGCAGTACGCAGTTTGATATTGTTCCGTGACAAAGATGTTTTCACGTGACTGTGTAACCTATATATACCTTAGAGTTGTGATGAGGACTTTCCAGATATGCCGGTGGTCATCTCCACAGACAGAAGTGGACCCCCACACCATCAGGTTTTTTTAAACTTAATTCCCTGTTATTTCTAAAGAATTTTGAATCCACAAGTTCCAAAAAAGAATGTTATTTCATCCAACTAAAATGTAGGAGAGAAATGTTCAAAGTAAAATTGGCACGTGAAAGGATGTGTCCAAAGTTTTTATTGACCTATGGGAAATATTTCTACATAAAATTGTAGTTGTTGCAACTGTTTTTGGCGAAGTGCACCCAACCTTTGGCAACTAACAGGAGACCTAATCCGCTGTGGGGACAGCAGTTGGTTAAACAGACAAAAGATGAGCTGTGGTGGAGGGATGCCAGAGTGCTTTTCAGTCCAACTTCAGTCTCTATGAGAGGCCTGTGAAAAAGGGGGGAAACATTATATGCACACATCCCCTGTCCCCTTTTTTATTGGGAGAGTATGGAAAGAAGAGCAAAGAACAGATACATTTTCAGATTTAAAAAAAATCTAATATTAAAATGTTAATTTAAGTCATTTGCATTGGAGACTAAGAAATATATTAAATGGGAACATTGGAAAACCAAATGCTTCAGAATCTGGTAACGTAAACCCAAAAGTGAATTATTCAACCAAAATTGAGTTTTAAATACTTTAAGAATCGATACAAACAAATACATTTATTTCTTAAATTATTATTTATCTATGCATTTGTTTACTGCAGGTGGGTATTAAAGTCAGTAAGTTTTAAAGCTTTTTTTCCCATATTAAACGAGACATAACTTTCCATCTGCTTTGTTTTAGTTAAATGCAGACATTTAATTCTTGTCAAAATGCTCATGTTGGAAACAAAGTCACCATTAATGCCCCCCCCCCAAAAAAAATGGGCCGACACCACCAGGCGATGAGGAGGCCCCCGCTTCTCTGTGATTGGGCACACCTCTAAAACCAACTCTCTGATTGACTCGGCGCTTCCTTTGAAGCCCCAAAAGAAGCGTCTCCCCATTGAGTAAGCCGCCCGCCAGTCCACCGGGGGCGTGGCCCCCCCCTGCATGGACAGATCCGTCGGCTGATGTGGGCCCAGCTTGCTGAGGACCAATCAGAAGCCGTCATTTTAGCAGTGGGAGCTTCACGCGTTCACGAGAGCCTCAGCTGCATAGTGTCAAAATCATGCGCGCTCACGTGTCAAACGTCAAAGATTGCTGCAATAGGGGTTTATGGTTTATGCATATGTTTGAAATAATCACTTTCTTAGATGTAAATGTATATTTGTAAGAAGATTATTAAAGTAGATCGGTCTTGGAAACTCTGAACAGGATATTTAATTTTCAGTGACAATTTTCATAGTGTGTGTACTGTGAGATGTTTGACTGGGATATTGTGAAATTATTAAGGTTGCTTATGAAGTATAGAAAATTATACATGGTAATAAACCCAAAAAGTAGACTGAAAAGCCAAACATGACCAGTTTAAGCATGTAACTCCCCAAAATTATGCACCTATATGAAGACTAAAAAGTAGGCCAACACTGGAATGAGCTGACATTGAGAAATTATTGGTTTAACATTGCTTCACATTATCTCTAAACATTGGCTCATTCAACACAAATCATTCCTCCAGGGGTATTTAAAAGCTTCTGACTTTGGAAAAAAAAGCCATATTGCCACACATCAAGTGATAATATTTAATGTATTTCTTATGTAGAACTTCCGAATCCACCCTGTAATTTAATGTTCATTTCACTGAATATGCTAATCTAACCACAAGAGCTGTAATTTTTTATATTTGTTTTATATAATTTAACTGAAAGACTGCCACTGGCAATTTCCTCATAAGTTTAAATTCTTCATCAGTTTTTTGTTTTTTTGTTAGCCTGATATATTTCATCAATCATTTAATTAAAACCATAACATAATGTTTTAAGAAACATAAAACCTTTTTTTAAATCGTCTTCCGGGGTCTTGCGGTTCTCTCTGATCTGGACTCCAGCACGCCTGCTTACGTCATGGCGCAGGGGCGTGGCCTAACAGCTTTACTTGACAGCCCCACGCTTGCCTTCAACAGTAGCTTTTCGACCTGGCTCTCGCGGTAGCCTTCCACAGCCATTCAAACAAATAAGCTAGCCGGCCAACTCATTGGGAACGTGTCCTCACCTCGAGAACAGCTACCTTCAGCAGGGCTTTCGCTGAGTTTATCGTTTGACAGGCAAGAAAAAAAAAGAAAAAGGACACGACGAAGATGTCCAAAGACACGGAAGGGAAGAGCGAGAAAATTATGGATATGGAGAGCAAGGTGTTGTGGTACCCGGATTCTAAGAGGAACACACAGATGGACAAGTTTAGGATACAGGTCAACTCGGACTACGGACTTAATCTGGGTGAGTGGAGGGAAGGGAGGGAGCCTGGGAGGTGGTAGGTCTGTTGGAGAGAACCTAAGTCGGATTTCATTGAGCCCACGAAGCTGCAGCTGAGCTGGATAGACAAAACACATAGGCAACGTCTCCCCCTGCTAGCTGTCAGCGTTAGGGGCTTACCACCAACATTACCTCCGCAGCTAGCAACCGAAAGGAAATCTTAATCTTCTTTGGCATATATATGATCTCAACAGCATTTCATGTTTGTTCCCCTGTTAATAGGCATGGCCCTGGTCCTCATCGTCTCTCCTTTCCAGTAGTAATGAGATGTTTACAACACTGCAGCTTAGCCTTGTTGCCATGTCTGGATCCCTCCCAGCTCCTCAGCATGCAGAGCTGCGAGGGGGATGGATGCAGGGAAGAGGCCTGGTTCAATTGTTTTTCTCTGAATCCGTGTCAGCTCCGCTCACAGGGTTCTGCAGGAATGCTGAAAAACGTGGCCAGCAGAATGAATAGAGAGCCACTTATACTGGGGAGAAAGAGGTTACACAGCCAACCCCCCACCCCCAATACATTTTTAACCCTTTAAAAAAAAAAAAAAGATTAATGGAGATCATTGTTGATTGTGCCACTCAAACTTGTGCTCCTCTTCTCTGAGGGCCATTTGATGTTGAAGAAGGGCCTAAGCTATGAACCTTTGGGACAGCTAAATAACTGTACATGAAGATTACTCTGTAGATATTTTATAAAGTTATAACACACATTTTCTACATTTGTCATTATATTCTGTTTGGAAATCAGTCATTTTACTTGGAGGTTTGCCGAACAAAGTGTGTATTGAGGTATTATTATTGGGAAGATATTAGTGGAACCCAACGGGCAACTGGGTGCGAGCGGTCAGTTCCGCCATTTATTTAAGGGGTGCTTGGGCTCACCTGCGACTGTTGAAGTAAATATCCTTTCTTGTACTGATTTGTTTTCTTTTCTAGCCAACTACAGTGATCTTTACCAGTGGTCAGTGGACAGCTACTCGGAATTCTGGGGAGAAGTTTGGCGCTTCTGTGGAGTGGTCAGCTCGAAAGCATATGAGGAGGTGAGTCTGACCCACAATGGGTTTCACATGTCTGCGTGGCTGGACAACCAACAGCACTCATTTAGTCTGGCGTAAAAGCTGTGTTGATTTCCTAGGAAAATTGTTGGACAGGTTTGCCATGTAACTCAGACTGGCTAACCAAACTTTTTATTTCTGCCTGCCCACAGCACAGAAACTTGTAAATATTTGAAGTATTGTTAAAAAAAAATGTTGATAAGCTAATGAAGCGTCAAGCCAAATAGAAGCACGGGCATTGCACACAGTACACACTAGATCCTCTACAGTCATCGGTCTGTCCTGCAGATTTGTGCAGGTGAGAATACAACTAGTTTTTTACTGATGCTCTGTGCCATTAAAGGGTAACCTAACCTTAGGCTACATTGGGGAAACAAAAGCTAACTGCATAGATAGAAACAAATGGAAAAGGAAATCCATTGAATTAGTTGATCGTAATTCTGTTACTGCCAAGTTCCAGGATGCAGCCTCTCGTATCAGGTAATAAACAGCGTCCGAAGCTGCGTCATATTGTTGACACACCTCTTTTGTACACATAGATGACATATTCCATCACACAGAGTGATTATACGTTCTCACTACATAGCTCTGTTTGATATTTGCCTATGACACTGTCGACCAGACAGTCACCCCTTTGTAAAACAGCTATGCTGTTATGCTTCTGGGAAATGTATCCACACAACAACAATGTCAGGGCGGTTTTAAGAGAAAGAACAATTCAAACTGTTTGTTTATTCCCCTTGTATTTGTGCTTTTTCTGTTTTTATGGTGTGTCCACCAGGTTGTAGACGTATCCAAGCGGATCTCGGATGCTCCGGAGTGGTTTAAAGGGGCTCGGCTTAACTACGCTGAGAACCTGCTTAAGCATGCAGACCAGGACAAGGTGGCTCTCTATGCTGCCAGTATGTACCGCGTGTTTGTCTTATAGTTCCTGTTTGAATGTTTCTTTGTGCAACGTCAGATGTGAAATGGGTAGGGGTTGTTATCTGATGAAGCATGTACCTCACATGTCACTATTAGATTAACTGCTGCTCACTTCTCTACCTCTGAATGTCAAATACTAAGGCATTTGTCCGTCCTTATTGGTGTGTGTGTGTTCGAGAGGGGGGGGTCCTGTGCATACCCAGCCTCGCTCAGGAGCTGTAATATAATTATGAGAAGACAGACCTCTGTGACTGTCAATAAGCTATTACTTAGAGAGATAAGAAGCCAATCCTGTCTGTCGCTCTGATTTACATTGTGTTTCGATCTCTGGTACCTTCTTACAAAAAATAAAAAATAAAATCTGGTGCATCTCAGATCTTTCTTAGATAGGACTTCCAGAGATACTACTTCTATCAAGCCATTACTTTCACTTAGTTTATATAGGGACACACAAATGTAAAGAAGACTGCCGATTTAAGGAAAACGTCCTTTTTTTTCACGTGGCTTTATTTTTTTCACCTTAATTGTCTCTCTGTCCACCAGGAGAAGCAAAGGAGGAGATAGTGAAGGTAACGTTTGGGGAATTGAGGCGGGATGTCGCGCTGTTCGCTGCGGCCATGAGGAAGATGGGGGTCCAGACTGGGGACCGGGTCGTCGGTGAGTTTAAAAGAACACAAGAAAGCATGGAGCTGAATTAGTTAGTGTATATTCTTATACATGTATCCATTTATTCTCCTATCTGAGGATTCAATTTCCTCCATTTTTTTAAGTCTGTAACACATTGTAGCAGCAGATGGAATGGTTTGCCACATCTCTGTGTTTGTGTGTCTGTTTGCTGAGTAAGCGTGCTCACTGGTGAGGAGGGCTGGTTGTTTTGACACAAGTTGCAACTTTTTCTGAATGTCACCATTAATTTTTTTTTCTCAGTTCGTATTTGTAGAAGGAGGCCGGGCTGAGGGTGCGTGCCTGTATTTTCCTTCAACGGCCCACCTCTCACTGCTTCCCCCAAAGAGTCAGCTTTAGCCACTACCATATTCTACTGAATCAAGCATTCACAGGAATGGTTGAGATTGTGTGTGGGAATCCATTAGCTAAATGACTCCACCTCTTTAGGAGTCTCATTATAAAGGTGGGAAGCAAGGGGGGGAATAAAGAAACGGGGAACATTATGGAGGGAGTCTCCTCCCTCTTCATTACTCTCTTCACACAGAGTACCAGAGTACCAGTGTGTGTGTGTGTGTGGGAAGAGATGTCCTTGTTCCCAGACTGGCCATGAAATGTCTTTTTTCTGTAATCCAGGAGACATATAAGCACTTAGCTAATGAAGTCAGCCATGTTTTATAGCAGAACACCAGCCAGCAGTGACGCACACACACACACACACACACATGCTTACACATGGAAATATGCATTTTACCGTCGTCCTTTGTATTTTCTTCTCTTGACTTTTGTGCTTGTAGATCTGAAATGTTCTTATTTTAAGAAGCACTAATCCAGCCATGAAAACCATTGTGAATAGTTTTTATATCTGTGGTATTGTTGCTCATTTTACTGGACCCTAACTCTAAAAGGAAGGAATTGGACTGGGACTGGAATTTGTTGCTTGTTGAGTCACAGAGTTGCACATCTGTTTCAAATGAAAGCGAAACACCCAGGTCTGCTGAATAATGCTGGGCTGTGTTCATGTGACGTGGAAGCAGTGTTGTTACAGCAAAGCAAGTGATTCATCACAATTGGCATGGAGGCAGTCAAAAAAGTGGTTGCAGCATGATTAGGATTCATGGTGCAACTTTTCCCAGCCCAGCGTAATTTATGATCTGAGCTCGTGGAGCCAGTGTAGCAGGCTGGTGATCTGTCAACAGAAACTGTCATCTTGCCTGAATGGGCTTCCTGATTACAGCAAGAGTCAGCATAGCAACAGTACAAGGGTGATTAGTCATGATTAATAGGAGGTGGCATTTACAGTTGCCTTTGACCAGACAGATTGCTCTGTTGGAACTACCAACTGTGTCATTGCTTTATTGAGTTTGATAAGAAACAGGTGTCAGATACTGGCATAACCTCCACAGCTCCTGAGCAGAGCCTAAACACTGCCTGTTTTTCTCGTCTTTTTTTTTTCTAAATGAAGTGTTCTTTCTTTCACAGTGAGGCCATGCCTTATGGATACATTATTAGAGCAACACTTATCAAATATTCTTAAGTTAGTTTATGTCAAAAATACGTGAGATGAATAGCATGACGTAGCATCAACAAATTCTTAGATGAGGTTAAAAATAGTAGTTCTATGATCTGCCACCCTGTGGCAGATCACAATAATTTTTTGATCACAACTCTTCAAATACAAACTCTTCAAATACTTACTTACTTACTTACACGCTTATAGAACAGTCACCAGTATTCTTAAAGAAGGAAAATTGTCATTTATTTGCTCTTTAACATGTCCATTTCCTTCCCTCCTCAGGCTACCTGCCTAATGGTATTCATGCAGTGGAGGCCATGTTAGCAGCAGCCAGCATCGGAGCCATTTGGAGCTCCACATCAGTCGACTTTGGAGTCAATGTAAGCACTGTTATGCATATATATATATATATATATTTTTTTTTTACAGTGATTTATTCATAGTTCATTCTGCTGTATTTCTGGTCAGGCATTGTATGGATTTACAACCAGCCTCTTAGAGGCTGTTTACCGTGGGCCATCCATGTCTGAGTTTCTAAAGGGTTTGGACACACTTAAGAGGTTTAGATTGATTAGAAGAAGTGCAATCGCTCCATTTGTGTGAACCCCATTCTGTCCCATGCTGAAGACCAACACTGCTTCAAATAATTTTACATATGAACACTGTCCACTGGTTCTCCGCAGAATATCCTAATTTACGTGGCAACAGAAAACCTCACCCTGGCGTTTTGTCACCTTTTACGTCAGCATTCTCTGGTTTTCTGTCAGGCATTTGTTGGTTTTGCAAAAAAAAAAAAAAAGATACAAACATCGAGGAAACTCAGATTGTCAAGTGAACCAGGACTTGTATTCCTCTATGCTCTAAATGTATGTTGATTTTATGTCACCTGGTTTTCCTCTGTCAGTTTGTGCACAGATCAGCAACTGTACTCAGACCTGATGTTAGAGGGAAAATGACCTCATTCCCATCAGCTCCTTCCTTTATGGCCTGCTCTTTTACTGTGTAATTCTAATGTGTGACTGCCCCCTGTGGCAGATCATAGATCTACTATTTTTAACCTAGTGTAAACTTGGTATATCAGTCTACTTTCATCGTCAGCATTGAAGACAGAAACTGACAGAAATAAAAAAAAAAATCAACCAGGAATATATAAATAAACCAATACACCTTAAATGTACCAATTAGTTTAAAATGTGAGACATAATTAGATATTTCAACTGTAAATTCCAATTATGATTGCTTTTTTGTTTGAAATATCTCATCAGCTTACTTTTTGATATGTTTTATGATTTAATTGGCTTTTAATGTATTTTTTGTTTTTTACTTTGTTTTATACAGTAGTATACAGTATATTATTTTATTATGTAGCATATTTTAAATATGTATATATATATATATATATAGCTTGATTCTCTCACTTTCAGAACACTTGGTACTTTTAAGCAGTCTTCTATGTATAAGATATGTATCTTTATTTGCTACAGGGTTTTAATTGTGTCATGTTTTTTCTTCCTTAGGGTGTCCTGGACAGATTCTCTCAAATACAGCCAAAACTGATATTTTCTGTTGCTGCTGTGGTTTACAACGGCAAAACCCATGACCACATGGAAAAACTCATCAGTGTTGTGAAAGGTCAGGAACCATATTTACTTCTTCTTCATCATCATCATCATCAATATATATGTTTTTTCTCTTCTGGTCTAGATATACGAATGAAAACTAAGTGCAATTTGTGATCGTGTCTAACATTATAATGAAGTATTCTGGCAATAAAGGATTTAATTAAGGTGTTTGATATCAAGGAATGTTCAACAAATCACTGAGAATTGTGTCTTTTTGCTAAAATACAATACAAGTGACTTACATTTGAAATAAAAATGTGTTTTTTGGTCATGACCACTCTCACATGCCTCTGGGGAATCCCCTTGGCTTATTTCTGGCTTTTATACAAAGAGCGTAGAGTGAAAATGTTGCGAAAGCTTCAGCCCCTGTCTTCCTCTCACTTCCGCAGGTCTGCCTGACCTGAAGAAAGTAGTTGTGATTCCCTATGCTCGCCCCAGACACGAAACTGACCTCTCCAAGATCCCCAACAGGTGTGTGTCTCTAAATAATTACACTGTAGTGCTAAAATCTAACCTTTTCATCATAGAAAGCAGGCCAGAGATAAATATTCACCCTCATTTTTAAAGTCCCTGTTGTTTTTAACCTCCACAGCGTGTTCATAGAGGACTTTTTGGCATCAGGGCGCGGGGAGGGCGATCAGTTCCCACAGCTGGAGTTTGAGCAGCTTCCCTTCAACCACCCTCTGTTCATCATGTATTCCTCGGGAACGACAGGAGCTCCTAAATGTATGGTGCATTCCGCCGGGGTAAGAAACACCGAAATGTATCGGCCACTGTATTATCACACAGCTGGAAGAGACAGTTGCTGGCCCACTGGCCAACATGCTCTCTAATTTGTCCTCAGAAAACCTATTACATAATTACTGTGTTTCGTAGCTGACGTTTGGTTCAGGCATTACAAGGGGTTAGACACAGCTGGCTCTCACACAGAGCTATGCACCCATGAGTCTCATCTGCGACTGAGCTCCCCTGGGCTGACCCACAAAAAAGATTAAAAGAAATATAAAAACAAAACACAGACGTCCAGAGCTTCTCAAGTGTTGTGTATTCCTGTTTATGGAATCCGCACAGTCATTAGTATTTGATCCAATGCTGAGCTTAATCTCATCCATCTGCACATAAAGGTATTTTAAGTTCACAGATCCATCTCTTTTTTTTTTCTTTTTTTCCTCTCCACTCAACATTAGAACAGTCACAATCAGTCAGGATCACCAGTTCTATCCACAATGACCTCGTCCCTCAGGACAAATTGTATTTCTTTCTCTGCCCTTTGAATATATTCCATGATCTAATTAAGCCCCTCTTTCTCTGAACTCTGCTATTGCAAAATAGGCTAGCAAACTGAAATGACTTATGCAGTCTGTGCCCTAAGTCAACAGGTAATTGTTGAGTTTCAGTAGCATGTGTAGATTAATAGAATCACTGTGCTACCTGTTCCATCAGCTTTGCTGTGCGTACCTTTGACCCTGTACCTTTTGGGCAAAAAGCAAGAATTTAGTTACATTTTGAGATTTAATTTTCTTTATGCGGATCCATCTTGCTCAATGTGTAGCATTAACTACGCATTTCCTGGAAAATGCTGATGACTCAACCGGCAATAGGTTGTGGTTGGATGCTGATGTCATAATGATCCCGACAGATGATGTGGAGTTTGGCCAGTTATCATGGGCGTTACTGGTGTGGCCAGTAATGTCCATGATAACATGATTTTTGTGAGTATTTAAAGCTTGTCATAGTCATGATGGCTTAAGAGCTGAGGCTGTACTATGACATTAAAACTACAGATGAAAAAAAAACAAACACCAAGTTTTTGCCCAGTAGATGCCAAAGAATTCCAAGTATTTGTTTGACTCTCCACTAGATGGCAGCAGACCTCCATCAGCAGATCCTGTTGCTGGCTCCTCTGAGAGTGGATGGATGACATTCAGCTTCACGCCATATTTGAGTGTTAGAGAGTGTTGTTTTTTTTCCGGAAAAACTGCTACACTTTGAAAAGCGAAACACCTTCCGTAATCTGTTTCAGCTCTTTTATACATGCCTTCATGCTTTCGTAACCAACAATTGCCTCCTTTTTTTACTCCTGGACTCAGAATTCTTTCTCCATTTTTGTCATTTGCTCTCTTTTTTCTGGATTTTTGTTTCCACTACTCATGCTCTCAGTCCTTTTTTCATGCTCATCACTCTCCTCACTTTACTTTCTCTCCCTCTCACTCCCCTAGCGCTCTTTTTTATTTATTTATCATTACTTATTGTCTTTTGTTTGGTTCCCATCTCTCATCTCTTCCCTTTGTGCTGCCTCCCTCTTACCATGCTTCTGATAATTGGACAGTAATGCGCTGCAGACAACATTTCGTATTGTGACAATGGCAGTCCTCTCTGCCTCAGCCAATTAGCCCTGGTACTGTTGTGCTTTCTGCTTTGTTACGGAGCTGTTAACATGCTGTCAGTAGCAAGATGGCATGCACCAAAGGACGGCTATGGCAGCTGAGTCCTGCCAGCATTTGTGTGCGCAGACACACATACACACAAACACAGGTTGAGCACCTGATCTGTGGAAAGAGAGTACACAGGCTCAGACCTAAAGCACACATTCACACATACTACAGACCATAAACTGTTCCTGCATTAATAACAACAGCCCTGACGGTGATGGGTTGGAGTCTTTGGAGGAATTTGCACATACCACAAATTGCCCTGTGTTATGAAAAGAAGTATGTGCAGAGGCCTGAGTCCGAGGTTTTTTTTTTTTGTGCAGCCATTAACGAACACAGAATAACATGATTTTTTGTCAGTTATAAGGGATGCTGCCCTGGTTCCTGCCAAATTTATGCATTCTATGTCAATATGAATTAATAAACTTGACACAAGCTGCTGACTTAGATCTGTAAATGGGCTCTTCAAAACTAAAGTCATTGTGTTTAGGTGAAGACGATGGAAAGTTTTTAACTGTAATTATCTCACTTGCTCCTCTCCTCTGTAGGGAACCCTCATTCAGCACCTGAAGGAGCACATTCTTCACGGGAATATGAGTGCCAGTGATGTCATCATATACTACACCACGGTAGGTCCACAAAGATAACGGCAACAAAGAAGCAAACATTTTTCAAAGCTTGCAACAGCCCTTTCCACCATCGAAGACACATCCTCATTTGTCCAGATTTACAAACAAATGCATTTTAATTGTTCACTGGTTAAACTGTTAACATTTTCCTTGTGCAATGCAAGGGTCTGCCCTAAACACTGCCACATAAGCAATTTTTCCTGATCACTTTTACACACAAACAATCCATTCTGGTTCAGTTCTTCTATTTGACATCAGACTTGACTGAAGACCCACAAAATCTGGTGACATCGAGAGAAAAGAAGCCAGGATAATGTTCCTCTTCTTTTCATGGAAGAGAGATTTAGATATAAAGAGCTCCTGTAGAGGGAGGCAAAATATAGTTTGCATAGGAGGAAATGGTGTGAGTGAGAAACATTTATCAAAGCTCACAGTGCAACCGCCTATAAATAAAACGAGTAGTTTAGGGTTTAGGTGTGGTGACCTGTGTAGAAACAACTGGCAGACAATGTAGTTTAAACCAAGGGAAGTCTGACCAGCAGTCTCAGTATCCCTCTAAAAAACGCTTTAGCCTGAACCCGATGATTTATCTTGGATAAACTGAGCAATCAATTCACTGACTAAACGTGTCCTCGCAGGTTGGTATAGTTTAAACCGCTGCCTTAGCCCTGCAGACGCTTTTCATAGAGCGGAATCAATATTCATACTGTGGTTACCAATGAGGGATGGTCTCAAACCAGTACCGCAGCGGGCTGTCAAATGAGAAACTCACTCAGGTGCATCACAGTCTGCCGGAGTTGTTCATTTCGCCACATTTAGTTTGATCCATTTTTCATGACAAAGGAGTGTTTATTCCAGGCAGCTAATCGCTATTGTTGTGGCGTTGTGCACATGTGGCGTCAGACGGGCTGGATGATGTGGAACTGGCTGGTGTCTGCGCTGGCAGTGGGAGCCTCTGTGGTTTTATACGACGGTTCGCCACTAATGCCAACCCCTGACGTCCTGTGGAGCCTGACTGACCGGCTGGGGTGAGTTTGCCACAAGCTCATCCACGAACACGCAAAAAAACAAAAACAAAAAAAACTGCTGGAGAAATGAAAAATGAGAAAAGCCAGTGGCTGGATATGTGTTGGTGGATTTTCCCAAAAAAAAAAAAGAGCCCAGGAAATTGATTGTAGATTCCTCACAGGCAGACTGCAATTTCAGTAAGACGGGATTGAGAAGTTTGATGTTTTTCTTTGAAAAGCGAACACCAGAAAAGACCCCCGTACTGTGTGCTTCTGACTAAGTTTGAAGTACAATCATTTTTGTAATGCATGTTGCCCAGCCTGTTTCACCCTGTTTTGCCGGGGTGTCTAGACATAGCAGTTTGGAAGTTAGGCTCCCTGCCTAACAGCACAGCGTTTGTTTTGGTACCACACCACATACCTGCAACCCCCAAAATAAAAAAAGCCAACATGCTCCCGCCATAATAGTTTAAGATGTGGGGAAAACAAAGAAAACCAAAGAAGAAATGGACTCTTTCTCTATGGAAGATCATGTTTATGGGGAACGGGTTGGACTCCAATAACTGTGGCAGATGCAGCAAAAAACCCACTCGGAGTGAGGGATGAAAGAAACCAGATGTGTGAGTGAGGTGGAGAAAGAAGGAACGTCAGATTGGATGTGGCTTTTGGAGAAACCCCAGAGAAAAGCAGGACGACAGATGGATGAGGTCTTAGCCTTGTTGCAATTGGTAAATAATGACTGCTAAACTCTGTTGTTCCGTCAGAGCTTTTGCTGTGCTAACCTCTGCCAGTAAAGCTGCAAACGTGCCTTTTTGGAATCCAGAAAATCATTCACTCCTACATTGATTGTGCTTGGATCTATCAGCGTATAGAAGTAACCGATGGACTCAAAAGTGCACAGACCCAAATTGTGATCCCATGTCACCTCGACACGACTTATTGGCTATTAAACTTGTTCTCTAAAGATTTCAAAGGAAATGTTGGAATGGTGGAATGTTTCAGTGAGCTTGATATAAATCGATGCATTTCCATATTTCAGAACCTAGGATTTCTGGAAAAAAACTGATAACTTAAAATTAAAACAGAAAACGGGTTCATTTTTTTTACACATCAAGTAGAAAGTGGTAGTTCATACATTCCCCTAAATATTTTGATGTGCTGGCCCATTTAAGGTTTAAAGAAATTGAGGTAAATTGAGGGTGAATGTTTACATTTCAACACAAAGAAACGGCACAGGCAAAGGAGAAGTTATTGCTGTGAGATTTAGTTTTTATCAGTGGAATATGTTTAGCTAACAAACAATATGCACACACATGTGAAAGCAGACATTTGGAATAAAATCCTAAATTTGTGATAATTGACAGAAGAAAAAAAAAAAAGACCAAAATCAAATAATAAGCATCTACCATTCATGCAAGGCAGGAAGAAAAGAACGTTCAGTCAACAGTGGCTAATAGATGTACTGTTTTATGTCAAAGAAAAGCTTTAACAGGGTGTATGATAGAGAAAACACATTTGGAAATAAGCTCAGGTTAGAGCAGACTATTATTTGTCATGTGATGCAAGCATACAGCAGCTGTGGGAAAGTATTACAGTTTTCATTAATTAGGGGAAAGATTGCAGTTTCACGTGCGTCTAGACAGGCTTAGTCTCAATATACAGAAGACAGCCCACGTTTCATTATTGATTCCCACAAATGAGCTACCTGGCTGTCACTATCGTATGAATACAAAGCAAAGATGCGGTTAAGGATTAACGCGTGGAATGATGCAGACAGACGCGTAATAAAACTGGCTCTAATATGTTCTAAGACACAGTGGCCAAGAATAAATTGTATGAGCAATGTCTAAAGGAGTGGATCAGATGGAGGGGTCATATTCTTTCCCCTTATCTTCATTTTATCATCGTTTTTTAATATTTCACGTGGTGTAAGAGTTGTATGTTTTGTCCCAGGGCATTACCAAACTTTTACAAATGCTATTACTTTGAGCAGCATGCCCTAAACGAAGGCCATTTGCAATTTTCAAGATTCCCTGCAGTTGTCTTTTCAGTTTAAGAAAAGGCTCCAGTTATCAAAGCACTGTTTTGTAAAAAAAAATCTTAAATTGTATCAAAAGATTTCAGAATATCTGGGGCTTGATGAAAAGACGAAGGGGAAGTGAAACCTGTGGAAAATGATCTTATGCCAACATGTTCAAAGTTATGCCAACACAGAAGCTGCTGGAGCTTTGCAAGACAAAGTTGCTCAGAAACCATTTCTCTTTTATCGGCCGAGCCAATAAAAGAGAAATGAAAGAAGGGGGCAGTGAATGTATGAAGCATGCCAACACTCTGCAGGAGGATGACAAGGGCAGGGGATGTTACTCAATTTGTAATAGTTGAATTTTCTGCAGCCACATACATAAGATAATTGTTATATCTTTAGGTTTATTGCAGCTCAGTTTCCACCACTGTGTGGGAAGCACTTCTTTTTTGTCTCACAGCATTTTTTCATTCTGACTAAGTCCATCATAGTAAAAGCTGAATATTAAAAAAGAATAAAAGAAGAATGGTGCGCTCTCTGCTACTAAATGGGAGTTTTGTCGTTTTGATTTAAAGAATTGGAATTGAAACTGAATACCCACAATGAGCTCTGTCAGCCCCTATTCCTCACACGCCGTGTCATACGTGTGGGTTGCTGTATCCCCTCACTATTCATATTCTCATACAGCCTCCCCACTGGGAGGTTATTTAACAGAAAAAGTATCGCGGTCAGCAAAAGTAAAACTCTTAAACACAGTGTTATCTGTGTGACACATCTTCACAGATGGCATTGCCTTCAGCAAGAAAGGGAATAATAGGGAGGAAATCTTGACACACGCAGAGAAATTGGTGTAGTAAAGTGGAAAAAGCACTCCTCGAGAAGCACATAACCCAGGACCGGCTTGTAGATTTCAAAGTTCCATCTTGATCCTGTTCGTCAATTTGAATAATCACCATATTATGAGCTTCAAAATGGGAATGCTTTCGCAATTTAAAAAAAGATGGAATTCTTTAAGGTACAATTTTCTTTTAAAAGTTTTACAGTGAGTCAAGTTTCTTTTCAAAGGATATGTAAGAAATGTTTACAGTTTTTTATGTTTTCAGTGCTTGTTCCCCTTAGATTTTTTTTGCCAGAAGAGTAATGGAAAACTTGAGCGAACAAGCTTCATGAAGAAATGCCCACACAGTGGCATTTAATGAAGGCCCACCCGTTTGACAGGAAGATAGATGGCACCTTAAATTGTGAGATTTTTTAACCAATTAAGTGCTGATACGGCCGCCTCAGACATATTTTTCCAAACCCGTAGCTTCGTAGGAGAGGGGGAAAAAACCCCTCTGGGAACAAATGCTATCAATTTTTTTTTTACAGCCTTATCCTCTGATTTGAGGTCGGACTTTTTAATTGGGACAAAATCTGTCAGAGAAAGTGGAAAATTTACCATAACGCTGTCCCTTTGGCTTGAATGTTATTGTTCGTTTTGAGTTTATTTTTATTTTTAAATAGAAATCAAGTTGGCGTCTGAGACTGACTTTTTTCAGAAGTGAAATTTAACATTTAAAAGTGTTAAGATGATTAATTTTTTTCTGTTCAGATGATCAGTAGCGATGTGAACACAATGCAAAATTACTTCTGTATCTGACAGCATAAAACAAACAAAAGGTCAAAATGATTAGAACTTCATTTTATTCATTAATTATATTGCTATACCGTTGTTTGTTCATCAGAAGTAAATTTCTTTGACTCCAGGAGTGGGGATAGTGCGGATTGAGGCCTGTTTAGAATTTGAGGAGCCAGCTCCAGTGTGGAATCAGTCCGCAGCACAGCCTCCAGTGTACATTAAGGTGGTGAGATACTGCAGAGTCTGTAGCTCGGAAGGTATTCAGAATCCGCTTTCACAAATAAACCAGTAAGCAGTGGTGTGCAACTTCATATTTTAAAATGCACGCTTACAAGTTTCAAAATCAGCACAATCAAAATGCAATTTCATGCTACTGAGCCCTTCATTTCTGCTCTTTTTTCTCTTTTTCCTCTCTGTCTCTCTGTCACACACTTCTTTTTCAGCCTCCACCTAATAATAGATTATACTAGTTTCATAAAAATATCAAATAATTTGTAAGTTGCATTCTTGTTATAAAAAAGTAGACGCAGTTTCTATTTTTCAGTGGACACAAACATTTGATTAAAAAAATTGTGAAGATGCTGCAATTAGTATGTTTTAGACAGTTGTGTAACGAGGAATTGGATTAGAGCTGCATTGTTAGTAAATCTGATGAATTGTCATTTATATCTTGTGATGGGTTATAATGAGGCTTTATCTTAACATATTTTCTTTTCTTTTGCATGTCATCAAACTCTGTTCAATCATTTTGGTGTGATGTAAACTCATCTGAATGGAACTTAACATTTATCGTTAGATAAATTGAATGCAGTTTTACCTCTCGATAGGAGAAAAAATATTTAGAAGCTGTACTCCAATTAGACGCTCCAATCAAATGCAAATGCAGCTGATACACGCTGGACTGCAGTTACAGATAAAAGTTCAGAACCACTCTTGCTAAGCGCATCAGCTGTAAAACAAGCCCAAAGGTAGACACAAAATCAGGTGTATTCCTGCATGGAACAAGGAAAAGGTTACAACATTCAAATCTGTGACAGTTTTTCATGCATGAATAGGATTTTGGAGGTTCCTTTGTGCTCAGACAATTGGCTTATCTCTTAACATCTCTTGTCCATCACATTTTTGTTCTGATATAAGTGATTGCTTGTAGTGATTTCTTTTCCTTTTATGAAAGAAAGCACTAATAGTTCAACATGTTCCATCAATCCAGCTATGGGAGAAGCATATGTCCTGTTACATTTAAATAAGATGCAAAATCTCACCCTTTACAAACCTGAGTTTTCACAAGTTGTGTAACTTAAAGGCTCTGGGAGTGGAGCATTCACAGTCACAGAAAATGCTGATTTTGAGAATAAGCAATCTTCTATCAGGAGATAGATAGATAGATAGATAGATAGATAGATAGATAGATAGATAGATAGATAGATAGATTATATTTGTGAATTTAAAAACGATTCATCAAAATCAGTTAAATGTAAATGTTTGTGCTCTTTATCCAGAAAACCACATCTACTTTTCAGGCTATGGTTATTATGGACACAGATTACATGTTAAATTTCAATATTTCAGTATTTATATTACAGTAACAGAGTTACAGGCTTTAGTAGCTCAAAACACTCAGCATTAAAAGTACAGATGCTGGTTTGGTGCTTCCTTATATCCTAAATATCAGGAGTAAAAGTCTATAATCATCACTTTAAAAGTTACGAACGTTTTTTTTTTTGTGCCTATTTATTTCCCAGACATATTAGTGTGTGTGTGAATGGGTGAATAAGGTGCATTACCTTAAAGCACTTTGTAGAAAGGCGCTTTATGGAGTTCAGTCCGTTTTATTAGTTTACGGGCAGTTCTGCCACATCCAAGATGGCGGACTCGTTGATGTATCGCCGCAACGGACGAAAAGGCTCAACGCGGCGTCTACGTATGTATGTCTGAACCTCTGTTCCGCAATCCATCCCAAACTGGGCTGTTGGTGTCTGTCGGCGTATCGCTGCATGTCGCCAATATAATGTTTGCATATACGTTTCTATAGCCTGATTTTCCAGTCTGGCTAATGTCTTCATCCATGTCTGTCTGTCTGTCTGTCTGTCCATATATGTATATAGATATATTATAATTGTGAAAGGGTGTACCTTGTTGCGTTTTCCACCTGAGCGGAAAGCAGATGCTCTTATTTCAGTCCCAGCCTCTCAGTTGCGCAGACAACAAGTGCGAGAGAAATTTAGAGAAGAGGCCTAAACAAGTGGATCTTTAGCTGCTCCATTACGCCATGCACAGAAACACATTAATACAATAATTGTTTGGAGGTGCTTTTCTGTCTGATTGCCTTTAAGCATCTCTTATTGACTTTCTAGCTTCCAGAAACATGTCCCCCCTTCAAACCCTGGTTTTCTCATGCTGACACCCATTCTCACAATCAGGGACTCACAGCTTCTCCTCCTCCCTCCATCCTAAACACCCAATTAGCCACCACACCTGGCCACCTGCCTCCAATCAGAAAAGAGGGACTGTTGCCATGGTAGCCTCCAATGAACAAATCCAGATGCAGATGGGGGGTCAGCGATGATGGAGAGCGGCTATGTGTGCAGATAGCAAATTGACTTGGAGCTCGAGTGTCATCTGAAGAGTCAGATAGTTTTAACCCATCCCAGAGCAGAGTAATACTCCACAGTGCAGCGGGTTGGGATTCGTTCAGTTATTTGTAAAATATGTCTCCAAAACAAGTGTTTAGATTTTAATTGTTCAGTTTAAACAAACATTTTTTAGGTTTTCTTGTTTTAGTTAACCTTTGAAATATTTGCATGTGAAAGCCACCATTTTGGCCACTGATGCTCTAAAGTAAAGTTTTTAAAGATACTGCCTATTATAGGTTTTACACATTTCTAATTAATTTGGGAAGATAATCAAGTCAGAGCGGTGAATGGGAAAGTTTGGCCAATATGAACACAGCCATGGCACGATATTCTGCTTTTGGGCCACCATAAATGTTCACATCATCACTGCATCCAAAGCCAGATTTTTTCAAAAGCGCATTAGGCATGACATCAAGGATTCAATTGAATCCACAAGACTGAAATATCAATGGATTGTACACCTAAAAATTGTGTGACCTTAGCCAAATGGCGGCGGCGGATGAGGCAGACAGAGGCAGAAGATGTGTGCAGGTATCAGTCGCCTCATTCCATTCAACACGTTTCTACTTGGGACCTTTGCTCCTTCCCGTATCCGATCCCCCCCCTGCGGTCACTCACCTCATCAGCAGCTTCTGTTTCCAAGAGAAGAGCAAATCACATCTTTAATCTCAGACCAATTCCTGCCTGTTCGATCAGTCAGGCATCAGATTCTTGTTTTATGTCCCAGACATAAAACATACATGTTTTATATATATATATATATATATATATATATATGTGTGTGTGTGTGTGTGTGAGATGTGATGGACAGAAATGTTTCTCATTAGGATTAGAGGCTATTTAATTGATTTCATGTCAGCTAAAATAACTAAAGGAGACAGCAGGACACAAATACACCCATTCAGGGACAGACTTCAAAGGACCCTTTGTTTTGTTTTAAAATGAGATCTGGGGGCAACACAGAAGTGGCGTCATCCCTCCCACATGTTGCTCAGCTGTTGGTAGCCGTCAGGGTGACTTTCAGCCACAAAGTAGAAACCTTCATTTATTTCCAACGTCTCTACGGGAGAACATTTTGCCAATACCTTACCTCGTGGAGCAGCTAAGAGTCGGACATTTTGCCGTTGTTGTGTGTGCGTCGTTTTGTGTCTGCCCAGCGGAAAGTCAATTCCGAGACAGTTTTCTATTTTTTATTTCAATTTTTTTTCTTTTCTGTCTGTGAGGGCTTAATAGTAGAAAAGCTGTGGTTTAGCATCACCTTGCATTGCATTTGCACAGTGACTCACTCCTCCCCATCCAAGTGCGACCGGGCTACTGAGCAGCCCCGCCGGAGCAGACGGGATTAAGGGCGAAGGCTGCTCACTAACTTCTGCCCTTTTAGGCTTTTATTTACATTCAGTTCAGAGTCAGTGAAGCAACAAATGAATCTGTGCCACAGCTCAGGCTCGGCACCAAAGCCACGCTTCCTCCAGTGGCTCGTCATCAGATCTTTCACTCTTGGATCTTAAGTAAATTAAGACAACTTTCTTTCTGTTTTTGTTTTAAAAAAACAGGATTTCTCATCCCTCATAAATGTTTACCAACTGCTTTGACCCCCCCCCCCCCCAGTTACAAAACATAGCATGCATGTTAGTGGGTTTTAAACAGACACAGATTAATTAGTTTTGTTTATTTGAGCTGCATGGTGTAAATTTTTGTTGGTACGAATATTGATCAGTGATCTTTACTTTTCAAAGAAACTATCAACAGCGATGGTAATAATTTCTGCTGTCTTTCCTTTGTCTGCGCTTATCTCTCCTCCAGCATTACCATCTTTGGTACGGGGGCCAAGTGGCTGTCTGTGCTGCAGGAGAGGAACCTCAAACCCTGTGAGTAGCACTCGCAAGCACACCCCGACATATATAGACACACATAAGGCAGTCAGATTAACACAGAAATATTCCTAATGGTGATTATAACGGTTATACTTGACACCAAATATCTTGGATTCCATTTAACTGGTTTCATTTAGCTTCTGTCCTGTATACCCGTGTTTGAATTAAAGGACAAAGTGCAGAAATAACAATCCATACAAGTCCTGCTTATTGCTTTCTGTCACACAACTCTTTAGAGAGAGACATTTCCACACTTAATAAGAGGTGTGCTGTTTTGGACCTCATTCTAACCCCAATAGATCCTCCCTTTTTTTCCTTGACTCATCCTCTCTTTAAAACTTTTAAATGTGCTGTCATAACCAATGTGCGTTGCATACATAATCACTTTGTTTCCCATCGCACTTTTATAATCTCTGTAAATCTTTATTCATGACTCCAGCTTTTCGTGTTTTTGTGTGTGTGCGAGTGTGTATGTGTGGTTCTGCCCATCTCAGTTTCTTTTAATTACCTCATTGTATTCATAGTGGGGTAGATAATAGGTAGGCATAAAAATCACAATTTTAGAAATAAAAAAAGATCTGCTCCCTGTCTGCCTTTCCCAAGCTCTTTCATCCATTTAGCACAGAACGTGTGTGTGTGTGTGTGTGTGTGTGTGTGAGTGGGTGCGCAATCATGCCTCCACTGGGTCTGGGAGGGTAGGGGGAGCTTCTTTAGTGGCTGCCCCAGTGGATGGGCCCTTTTCCCTGGGCTGACATTTGGACAGGACACCTGGAGGCATGGTGGGGGGTAGCAAGAGTTCCCACTGTGTGCGTGCGTGCGTGCGCATGTGTGTGTGTGCGCGTCTGTTTTTGCGAGAGTGTGCTTTTGTGGTGAGGGTCGGTTGCTGAAAGCTTATTAGTTCACAGGGTGTTATTGGCGTGGGGTTTTGGCATATGTGTGTGTACGTGTGTGAGTGTGTGTGTATGTGTGTGTGTGCGCATGGGGCAGGAAGTGTCAGCTTGCACGCTCTGTCACATCAGGGTGGCAAACGCAATAACACAACATGTTAGGGTGCCAGGAGCCACAGCTGCTCACAGGTGCTTGCCCACTTCTTTTGTGTCATTGCGTGTGTGTGTGTGTGTGTGTGTGTGTGTGTGTGTAGGTTTTTGATTTGGTTGAAAAATTAATGCTTCCTGGAACTGCATCAGTTTTTTTTGTGTCTTTTTTTTTAACAGAATTGTGAATCTAACCTGAGTGATCGCTGAGTGGAAGCACTCATTCCTGAACAAAATCAGAACAAAGGCCCAGTCACGTACTGAAACATGTCCAAATATATATTCATGTGTAGTTTTTAAAGGCGAAAGCTAAAGAAAATGCAGTTGTTACAATTCAATATTTCATTTTTCGGCACAGTCAATCTGAGAAAGGCTTTGTTGTTATTTCTGTACGTAGTCTTTGGGAATATTTCTGCGGGGTTCTTTAAGGATGTTGAATTCTCTTTAAATGTCGGCTGCCTTTTGTTCCGTTCTGTGTCAAGATGATCCCACACTGCCTCAGTACAGCTGTCCGGGCTCTGGGGAGGATTAATCCCTCCTTAAGACCTGGCACTGATTTTCAGTCCGCTTCTTGTGTCATTCGGAACAACAAGGTGATTCACAGTGAGCCTTTAGTTGAAAAATTGGTGCATGTCATTAATTACTCAAGTTCTCAAGATGGTATATGCTGAGAATTCCTTAATGATTCACAGGTCAGTGTTAAGACACTGAAAAGAAATCAGTTTGAATGGGGCTGGACTAGAAATACATAGAATTAGAAAGGATCCAGTAAAATAAAAACTCTTTCAGCCATTTGAAGAATTGCTCCAGAAAAAACAAAGATTAAAACACACTCCGCTTGAAAGCAAAATGTAAAGAAATGAGAGGTGGCTTAAGTCTTTTGTCCAGAGATGTATTTTGCATCAATTTAAAAGCAAAATGAATCTTAGGCCTTTATTTTTTGACTGTCATTTTTACTCTGACTCTTTATTTGATGTTTATTTTTTCCTTAGCGGAAACCCACAACCTCCAGTCCCTCCACACCATCCTGTCGACCGGGTCTCCTCTTAAACCTCTGAGTTACGACTACGTCTACCGCTGCATCAAGAGCAACGTGCTACTGGGCTCCATCTCAGGTGACTGCCCCATGGTCGCTCTTTTTTTAGATTTTACATGTTATTCTATGATTTCAACACGAAGATCCCTTCGTAGATCTCGTATAAGCATCTACGAGATGCTTATACATATGATCAGTTGATCAGATAAATCTGCTGATGTAAAGGGAAAAGAAATCCTTCTTAATTGTTGTATAGTTTTTTTTTTTTTTTGCACTGTTCCTCTAATGATGTTTAGGAATAACAATCTCTCATCCCAATGAGGGTTTGTGTGAGATTGCAATCATAAAGTATAAACTTGAATTCCAAGAATATCATTGACATGAGAACTGCATTTAACATGGTCCCAGGGGTGTTTTTGGCATTCTTTATAAAGACGTGAAGCAAGGCTCATGATGTTCTCTTCTGTTGAATCAAATGAGTCTGTTTAAAGTGGGGAAAAATCCCACAATGAATTAAAAATATAGAAAGAAACTTAGAAAATCTATGCAGGAATCGGGTATCATGGTCAAATAACTGTGAAAAGATATTCAAAGATTTCAAAACTTCAAATGTGGTTTTTGTGAAGGGGAAAGGTTTAGAGAAGATGGCTGTCATCCCGTCCGCTTTGCTGCCTTGTCAAGCAGAAAATAAGAAGCTATAGTGTGGGCTAGAAGCCGCGGTAAGTGTCAAACAAGCCGTGGATGAGAACCAAGATTTAGTATGAAGAAGAAAATGTAGACCAAACTGAGAGTTCAGTAGCTAATCTTAAACCCTCCACTTGAGAACAGCCAAGTGTTCGGCAATTCAGGACGAGGATGGCAACGAATCAAGCAGCATTGAGCTGATTTAAAGGGTTATGAATGCAGAAAGTTAAGAAAAAGTATTTAGAAGTCTTTTCATATCTGAAACACCTGATTCTCAGCTTATAGGTATAGCCTTATTTGCTATGTTTGATTGTTGGAATATTCAGTTACTTCCTTGTTTTTATTTTCTAATAGGGTTAATGATCTGGAGTGAAGAGATAAGCTGTGATCTAAAGGTTTGAGTGAAAATTTTTTTTACATCAGCCACTGTCGGAAGCACATCGCAGGGTGTATGGCGTTCCATTTTTTTCCCAAACGCACTGAACTAAGGACTGAGCGTAGTACTTTTTTGGTGGGTGGGCGACCGCTCTATCCTCTGAGCCTCTGAGCTTTAATCAAACTGACCAAAAGTCACATCGGAGGTTTATGACTGGTGACGACAGTTCAGTAGTCTTTGATGTCTTTGACAGCAAGTTTTGATGGTGGATACTGAAATGGGACCATGTGATGGGCATTTTCTTTTAGAAATGTTCCGGTTCAGACAGTCATCGGCATGTTCTCACCATGAGACCTGAACTGCTGCTTCTGTCATTGCCAATGGCTTCTCACCGGCAGTGCAACACATTCAGAATTCAAATTTTGCATGTGTCACATGAATCATACAAGTAACATCAGTCATATACATCATCTTCTTCTTTTCTAGCTATGTCAAATGTCTTTAACACAAATCGCTCTGTGTAGCTGCGCTCACCGGCAGCTGCCATGTTTAAAATAAGGGCCAGCTTTTGCTATTCCATCAGCTTGTTGATGGCCACTCACAAACTCGATTTCAAATTCAAAATCCTGCGTGTGGCATTTGCCAGGAATCACTTATGATGCAAAGTGTTGTGACAGAGACGGTGACACAAACACAAAAGGGTTTGGCTCAAACAAAGAAACCACCCACAAAAGAAATTCTACATAACTGTACATTTTCTCCACCACATAACCATCCACAGGCGGACCCCCAAAGCCTATTGTGATGTTGACAGTCCAATAGAAGGCTTTTGGTCTCACTCCGTGAGTTTTGAAACGTTTAACATTTAGCACTGCCTGGGTGACTGACATCTCACACACATACCTACCTAACACACACACACAGTGGAGCTTGGAGCCTCACAAGTGCACAGAAATACACAGTCTTTGTGAATGACAGCCCTAATGGCTGTAACTCTCACGCTCAAATGCACACACACACACACACACACACACCCACATGCTTACACTAACCTGCAAGTCAAAAGACCGGACACGGCCGAAGCGTCAATCGCATGGCAGAAATCTGGTGAGAAATGAAAAGACGAATAAGGGGACAGCATACAAGCAGTTTTTCGTGTTTTTTTTTTTCATCCCTCTGCCCAGCTCTGCACAGACTCTGTACATTTTGTGTATTTTTCTCACTGACAACCAATGTCTGCTGAAAGGTAATGTAGGGTCTTCCATATTCATTCACTTTGTTACAATAAACAAACTAACATACTACAATTAATTAAAGAGATGCACTATGAGGGAAAAAAATACATAGAGGGCATGAGCTCTATATTTTAAGACGTTCAACTGGACTTTGATTTGCCTTTACTCAATATATATATATATATACTCAAATTGAAATCCATCCTTAACAAAGCAAGCCCTCAGAAGGAAGCCTGGTTCTCTTGGTTGAATTTAATTTAATTTTTTAATTCTTTTGTTAGTCTTACTAAATCTAAAACCTGGCACGTTTGGAGATGTCAGTATTAACATATCTCATTATATAGTAGTATCAGTTAAAATATTAATTCCAAAATTGCATGTAACAATGCTTCTTTTAAAACAAAGAAAAACTAAAATGACCTCTGTTGCATACCTTTGATAAACACTTAAAAAAAACACTTGGTTGTTTTTTTCCGGGGGGTATCACATTTAATCTGTTACCCTTGTGCGTACTTCATTTATATATCTTTACAGATTGGTGACAAAACTGTTAAAGTAACTGTCATTTTATTATTAGTTTTCGAAGTTGTGCTTTTTAGGGATTAAAGTCCTGAGAATTCTGTGTGTGCGTCTTGCAGAAAGCAGCCCCATGCCACAGTCACTTTCCTTCTTGTCGCCAAGGGCAACAGCAGGCTACAGTCCTGTTGGCTGCCAACCGACCTAACCTTGACCCCCGAGGTCAACACCCTTGTTGGTGTGTGTGCGTGCATATGTGTGAGGATTTATCACAGCATATGTGTCAGTGTGACCACTGACTTATGGTCACAGTGGCATATGCGACTGTTTTCACCCAATATTTTCGCCACTTGTGCGTTTTTGTGAATGTGTTCGGACCTTTGCAACGTGTGCTTGTGTTTACGATGGTTTCATTTGATTTATGAACATTTCAGTCTGACTTCACGTGCACTTAAGAGTTCCGGTGTGTGTGTGTGTGGATAACCTGCCAGCAGGGAAGTCGGAGCCATGTTCCTCTTCACTGGGTGATTTTAACACTTTCACTGCTGGATTCCTTCCATCCTAATATCCCTCCATCTGACTGCCCATATGTCGCTTCTCTGCTCCCCCTTTGGCCTCATCTGCTCTTTGTATTTATGTGCCTTCATACAAGTACTTAGCTTAAGTTTGAGTGTGTGCCTTCTATAGGAACTTACCTTTTTTTACAATGAATTCTTAACATACGACATGAATGTGTGTGCGAATTAGCGTAGTGGGTTGGCTGGTGGTTGCTGATGGCTTTATTCAACTCTGGGACCAGGAAGATGTTCAAAGCCCTGAAATCTCAACAAACAATTGCAGAGACTCAGATATAAAAAGCAACCGGATGACTGCTCTTTGGAAAATAGGATCTGTGTGCCAAGTTATTGTATGCACAGAGTGTGACAATAGAAACAATAGAAGACGCTCCAAGCCAGCCACCGTGACTTAGAGCTGCTGGAAATATAAAGGTGTGTGTGTTTTTGATAGCGCACATGTTTATGTATGCCCACCTAAGACGGGGAGTGTATCAATAAGACGATTGCTGATCTTCTCAGTAAAAGTGGGTTTGTGTCTAATCAGGAGACAAACTTTCCACTACCTCCAGGGAGCCAATTAAAGCTCAATAAAGAATCTGGCAGACAGAAACGGTGAGACGGAGTATGAAGAACAGAAAGGAAACCAGGAGAGGAGGGAGGAGAAGTAGAAGGGCCGAGAGCAGCTGAGAGGAAGGGAACAAGATGGATGGAGGTAGTCTGTGATACAGAGAGGAGTGAAGCAGGGAGGTAGAGAACGAACAATGGGAGTGGAGATGAATAGAATGTGTCAGAAATAGTAGATGATTGGATGGCAGGAAAAGACAAATAGATGTGTGTGTCGACATGACAGTTTTAGAAAGGTGCTTCAAAGGAGAAGAACTCCTATATAGGTCAATGGGGGAGGAGCTGGATGGTAACTCTGCCAGTTTGTGGTAGCAGAAGCAGGCTTACACCTGTAGTAAGGGATCTAATGTCACTAAAGGTACTAATGACAACCTTGAGTTCAAAGGATTAAAAATGGAACAAGTAGTACGTTGATAGAATGATAATCACTTGAACTTTACTAATGAACTCCAAACAAAATAGATTTTGGTGCAAATTTGACCTTTTTTTCTGAGTGGAATTCAGTTCCCCTAAAAGGAATGAACATTTTGGCAACTGAATTCTGGCTTCATATTCAGAAGGTGAAATTGGTCTCAAGCATCTTTAAATTAATGTCCGGTTCTTCTTGAAAACTATTCACATCTACAGATTTTTTTTTCTTAATCAGAACAGGAGTAATATCATGTGTAATTAAAAAAAATGAATAAATTAATGATATATGTATATGTACAACATGCTATTGGACTAATACAAATGTACAAATGTTTTGTCTTGAATTGCTGCTATTTAAAGGAAAACACCAACTACACCAAGTATTTCCTATTTTTGCTTCAGAATCATTCAGAAAGAAATGTTGACAAAACTGTTTTGTGAATATTGATTAAAAATATAAGATTGAATAGAATAATATATGAAAATATTGCCAGTACAAAATGTGTCCCTGGAAACAGTCACTAACTCTGCTCACTAATATTTACCATCTACTTTGTGTCTCTCTGTTCAATCGCCAGGCGGCACTGACATAGTGTCCTGTTTCATGGGTCAGAACCCGACAGTTCCAGTGTATCGGGGAGAGATCCAAACAAGAAATCTTGGCATGGCGATAGAAGCCTGGAGCCCCGATGGTGAGTGTGTGTGTGTGTGTGTGTGTGTGTGCGCGATCGGAGAGCGAAAATTTCCCAGGAACTTCACGTTTTTTTCTTCTCCTCTCCTCATCTTCGTGTAGAGCATAGCTTCTTTTGGGGGTAATATGGTTACTTCCACTGTACAAAAACATGCAAGTTAAGTTAATCAACAATTCCAAATTGCGGGGCTGTTGTTCAGGATAACCAAGACCCTACTAGGAGTGAGCAGCACAGACAATAGACTGATTCTAAAAAACCAAGTGGTTGCTGATTATATGAAATAGAGGCTAAACCGTTAAATTAGATCTAAAGAAGGTATCTTGTATATATCTAGTATGTATGATGTAGATCTTAAAAAAAATATGGAAAACATTTTGAAACTCTTTTTAAACTTTTTTTTTTTTAACTAATTGATTTTAGACACCCCTTCCCTCAGCCTCTTGGTGCATTGGCACGTCTACGTTACCTCAAAAGAGAGTGGACAGAGGGATGTTTTAAAGGAACTTTTGTAGAAGTATTTAAGCACCAACCTGAGGAAAGACGTTATAGCTGTGTGAAACCAAGCATTGAAATGTACCGAGGTGTCTGTGTTGGAGTGAAAACTCCTGAAAAGCTTCATCTGCTCCTTCTTCTGTCCCCTGTGTGCTTGTGTGTGATGTGTTTTGGGTGTGAACAGGTAAGCCGGTGTGGGGAGAGAGTGGGGAGCTTGTCTGCTTGAAGCCCATCCCCTGCCAGCCGACTCACTTCTGGAACGACGAAAACGGGAGCAAATATCATAAGGCTTACTTTTCCACATTTCCCGGTAAAGGCACACAGCCATTGTATTTGCATATGAGCTGAATATGTAACCCACATAAGTTAAATTCCTGTTTGATACAATCTATTTCCACACAGTAGACTGTATATATAGCTTTTTGTTCTGCAAGGCACAAGTATGAAGTTATTTTTTAACTCATCTACAGCATTTTGTTATACACAATGTGTATCAGATCTTAAAACCTTTTACGAAACTGTAAAAAATTGTTTTTAATGTCATGCTTTCTCCTTAGGGGTTTGGGCTCATGGAGACTACTGTAAAATCAACCCTAAGACAGGAGGCGTTGTCATGCTGGGCAGAAGGTCAGTAATTAACCATCTTTTTTAACCTCAGAAGCAGGAGAAAGTAAATATTCTAACAAAAGTCACTGTGTCACTGCAGTTTTATTAGAATATTTTAGAGACCTCAGTAATATTAGAATGAAATAATATTGTAATTTATTTCCTGTATTTGTAAAGAATGACAGCCTGGCTTTTTTTCACATGCTCACAAACCTAAGAGCCTGTAGCAGCTCTTTGCTGTTTTATGACCATATAGGTTTGTTCATTGCCATAATTATACTAATATATTGAACCAGCACGGAAGCAAATGTCTGCACAAGTAAGCAAGCAGACATTTTAGTCCTTATCTTGTGGTTTTGTCACAGTGACGGCACGCTGAACCCCAATGGAGTGCGATTTGGGAGCTCGGAGATTTACAACATTGGTGAGTTTTACATCTTTAAAAGGACGCGAGTTAAAGAAATGAGATAAGTTTTAGACAGAAGCATTGAGCTGAGATTTATTGAGTTAGTTATTGAGTATGTTGTTCTACCATGTTCACTTCTACCATGTTCCGAATGAAAAGTGACAAAGGTCCACTTTCACGACTGCTGGAATATCCCATTCTTGTGCTTAATTTTGACGGTCTCAATGTCTTCTCACCTTCTCTTCCCTCCACACATCTCATCTTTTCTTCCTTTTTACCCTGTGTGCCTTTTCCTATACTCCATCTTGTTTCTCCTCTTCCCTGCAGTGGAGGCTTTCGAGGAAGTGTCAGACAGCCTTTGTGTCCCTCAGTACAATGCTGACGGAGAGGAGCGGGTCATTTTGTTCCTGAAGATGGCACCTGGAAAGCCCTTCTGTCCAGAGCTGGTGACAAAGATTAGGGGGGCCATCAGAAAAGCTCTCTCTGCACGCCACATTCCTGCCCTGCTGCTGGAGACCAGAGACATTCCTGTAAGAGAAATATGAAAATCAGAAATGAATAAGCTTGCCTGGCCTTTCCTGTTAGACTGCCTACATCAGCAGGGGTCATTTGTGGCTTTTTTCGTCCCTCTGCAGTACACCATCAGCGGTAAGAAGGTGGAGGTGGCTGTGAAGCAGGTGATAGCTGGTCGGGAGGTGACACAAAGAGGCGCCTTCTCCAACCCCGACTCGCTGGACCTCTACAAGAACATCCCCGAGCTGCAAAACTACTAGAGTCCAAACTCTGCCGAGCAGGAGAGAGGACCCGCCGACGACACCTCCCTTCCAAGAATTTAATCCCAGTTTTTAAGTGTAGCCTCATCTAAATGGACTTTTTTGGAGGTACGAGCTGAGAGGAAACATCAAAAAACACTTGAGGTACATGCTCCAGTATATAGCTATTAATGACATCAATAAGCAGCTCATCTTTTTCTGTGTAAATGCTGAACCGCATTAAGCTTTGGGTGCAAAACAATGTCCACAGCAGCTTCAGGATAATGTCATGCTCTAATGCAAGCGATGGAATAGCTTCATTGGTTGTGTTGTCGTTAAAATAAGTGAGGAAATGTTTCTTTCTGCGTCACCCGTTTCCACCCCGGTGCCGCTTAAAATCCGCAGATGTGTGCAGAGAAAAACACACCTCAGCTTTGGCTCATATCACCATTTGACCGTTTTGTGGTATACACTGCTTTGTCAATTTATGTATATACATTTCTATGTATATATAAAGGTATATATAGGAATATATATATATGTGGGAACATATGAATGTTTATCTTTGACAGTGAAAATAACTAGGAATGAAGCATTTATAAGCGACTCATGCTTAACCAAAGGTAGTTGAGGGTTCTTGTCGGCTCTGACATGTCAGCTAAAGGTTCCTAGTTACAAAAAATATAGGTACCGAATAAGTTATTCATCTCCTATACATATGTAATGGAGTCTCAGTCTGTCTTTTATATAGTTTTTAGGCAAAAGACTGAGTTAGGGCTTGATATTGATAACGGCTCTCTTCAGAGTCAAAGCGGCCCTCAAATTTCAGAACATCACAAAAAAAAGAAGTATCATTAGTGATCTGAAAGACAGTATAGGCCCTTTTCTCCACCAAGGTCTGCACTTGACAGTTGCATACCCATGTTCCATGTGTCAGTCCTTTTTGGTTATTTTTTGAATAGGAACAAATAAAGGAGACGTGCAACCTTCTCATGATGTGAAGAGAAAGTTTGAGGGCAAAGACATGCGGTTAAAGAGGAATTGCTGTGGCTTTGTGGTCGCTGGTGGCACAGCCATGTGGTTGAATATATAACGAGGTGTTAAATGATTAAACATAGTTCCCTCTGTTTCTATTCCAGCAAATCTGAGTTTGAGGGTGATTTAGGGAGAAAAAAATGACAGAACAATGGCAGGTGCTCATTTGATATTTGGACTCTAATTTGGAATACATTCTAAATGGACACAACAAATGCTATTCCCTTTAGATCTAATATTCATTCAATTGGAGACAAAATGGAAACCGATCTCAAACAAAACTTTGCTTTTCATCTTTTAAGTCATTATCTTCTTCTTCTACAATGACATTTTTCTGGAGTACAGTTTTCAATACTGTGGCGACTTTTTAAAAACTTGTTTTCAGAGAGAGAAAGAGCTTCATAGGATGTATATCTAAATTCCCAAAGCTGCTGGTGTAGGGAAATTGGGATCATAATTGGATAAGTGAACACTTTGCACTTTAGGGCTGTACATAAGAGTGTGTTTCTGATAAAACTGGTACAACATGGCAGATCTACTGGTCCATTCTGTGGTGTGGATGTGTTTTTGTTTTTGTTTTGTTTTTTCTTTATACCAGACTTTTCTTATTGAAAAAGGCCAAGAGTGTGGAAGCATAATTCTGGATGTTGAATGCGTTTGGTTCTTTGGTTCTTTCCTGTTCACTTACTTTTAATTGAACTTGTAATTTTTGTACTTGCATTCTTGTTGCAAGGCAGTGTATATAATCAACTGTGACTAATGTTTTTGGATCATTTCCTCTGTAAATTGTTTGCAATTTTAAACAATGTCAAAGGGATGTTTATGGTCACCGTCCTGGTCCAGATAGGTGCGTGTGAACTTAAGTTTGCATATGTTCATTTTTGTTCAGGTATATTTGTGTCGGAAACCATAGGATATTGTGTTTTATGCAAAGAGGGGGGCTTTTCCTAGTTGGTAGCTCTGAGCCACCAAATAAAAGTCATTCTGAGGGCAAACAAACTGTTCTGTGTCCCAAAGAGTAAGCCTTTAATACGTCTTGGAGGGTTAAGATTAGTGTTTGCATCCTTCCTGTTTTTCTGAGATTTGATGGGGTCTTAAATTAGTTTGGGTCCTAATTTTTTTTATTTATTCAGAGCTTTTCTGAAACATTATCCATTTTATTAGATAAAAAAAAAAGACTCCTTGAAATTAGCTGAAATCTTAGTAACCAAGACAGTATAAACTGGTTTTAATACCGTACCTGGTCTGTGCAGTTCGGCTCCACTTGTGAGAGTAATCAATAGTTATTTTAATAATACTGAGCATAACTGCTGCTACAGATTGCATTCAGATTCAGGGTTAAGAAAAAAAGACTGACAGACAGGTGGATTAGCTGAAAAAAACTTTGTGTTTCATTCAGCTTTCTGTATCTGTGAATGTGTGTGTGTGTTTTGTGTGTGTGTGTGTGTGTGAGAGAGAGTGTGGAAGCCACTCATTTTGACAGACTGCTCTTTTAGAAATAAACTTGTCAGTTTTAAAGATCCCCGTAACCTTTACACAGCAAGTATGAACGCTCAGACCTGCCAGTCAGCCCAACTTTGAAACAAAACGACGAACGTAGAGAAGGCAAAACTTGGATACAGTTAAATTCCTCTATTTCAGCCATAAATCAAGTATTATATATATCATATAACATGTTATATGATCAAAAATTGATCGATATCTATGTAGTCCATAGATGGAGAATGAAAGTGTGAAATTAGAACAACCTGGGGCTTTATTCAGGAAAAAAAAAATCTGGTTGGAGTAAGTAAATGAGTGGAAATCTGAAGTGTTTACCAAATTCTGAAAGAACCAACACCTGCTGAACATCAGTGATAAGTGCCTTTCAGTCTGAGAGGGGTTTTGTAATTGTTCATCCCCACAATCCAAATAATAACAGAGGAAAATAATGGCTTGATAGCCCATTTTTAACTAAAGAGAAGTAAACTATTCAATCTCTCTTGATGCAGTCAATCTCAACTGTAATTGGAAATTACAAACCACAGATGTTGCTTTCTGACAAGGGGTGCGTAAGTGTTTCGCACACAAACGCACAACGTGCTGTTGATTTTGGTTCAATTCTGAATGCTCCCTCTCAGCGGAGGCTGCAAAAAGACACCCTTTGGCTCATAACCTCACGTGTTTTTGGACCACAAATTAAACAAAAGCAAGCAGCTAGGTAAATTGTAGAGGGGCTGTTGGTTGGAAAGAGGAAGTGCTCGAATAATGGCGATCAAATGACAACTGCACATGTGACAGAACCAGGAACTGCACTGCTTTTTTAAAAGTTCACTCGGGCCTTATTCCACTCGCTCACCACTTTGTGAAAGGTTCTGGCTCGGCAGCCAGAGAAAGTAAGCTAGCGGCCTAATTCTAAAAAGGTTTTCCAGCATCTATCTGCCAGTTAGAACTGGAGCAAGTTACAAATATTCTCTCTGCTCGAGCATTTGATATTTATTCAGACTTAATTGTTCTGGAAGCGCAATAATCTGGTCCTTGGGAAACTTTGAGCCGGACAAGATGGACTCATGATTGTGGCGTCACAAATATCTTGAGGATCCATATCTCCTAAAAAGTACATCCTGGTACCAAGGAACCACTTCTTTTCCCTACCCTCATTAATAATCCATTTCTGATCTTAAACTCAGGTAAATAAAATCAACTGCATTCCCCTGTGATCTAATCTTATTCACCACAACTAAACCACAGTGAAAAAGCTTTCCTGCGTAAGCCAGAATCAAGAGAGTATTTAGCAGCCAGGTACCGCTAATCAAATGCCCTTTATTAACTTATCTCAAGCAGGTGTGAGCACTTCTCTGCATTTAGCTTTTTATCAGCAGCGAGCTAAGTCGGGGGCTCGTTTCAATCCATCGGCTCCAGAGGGACCTTCGCATACATCTTGGAGTGTGCTGTTCCACGAGGAGAAAGATCATTCACAAGAGGAGAACATTCAACATGACAGACAATCTTCACAGGAATACAAGATCCAGTAAGTCCACCTATGGTCAGCAACCGCTTCTCAGTTTCATGCACTGTACAGTTTGCAGGCTTCGGTTAGGATGTTTGATGTTAAATGGTGATGCGATATGAATGGGAAGCCTCTTTTATCCAGATAGTACATTTAACTTTTTTTTTTCTTTTTTTTTTTTAACAAAATTTTTATTATTTTTTCAGAAATAATACTATGTGGTACGAATGTACATGTGTATTTTTACATTTTTAAACATGAAAAACAAACACAAACACAGGGTGATTACAAGAGTGTGAGAAAGTACATAGAACCTTTTGAAATTGGAATGTTTTGCTAAACAATAGAAGACAGGAAAGATGTTAATCCTTGTTATACATTACCTCATGAGGTGAAAAAAAGGATTCCTATAGCGTCAAGTATGAATTTGGGGGCGTTGTAGGTTTTGAAGCCACAGGACCAGCAGTCATTGAGTCAACCATGAATCCTCTTCTTTGAGACCCCATTTGTTGTACGTTGACGTTTAGTGATGGCTTTTCCCCCCACATGCCCCCTGATATCTCCAAGTAGTTTAGCCTTTTCTTCTTAGTAAAGACGTGTTACCCTGCTACTAAGAGGTCACTTTGGATCGTTTCCTAGGGGACAATCTGTTTTTGTTTTCCCTGCTCGGCCTCTGTGCCATACCTTCTTCAAATAATATTTCTTAATTGTCCTGTTCCTCTGCTCTGATAGCTACCTGCTTTTTGTTGCTTTAATAATACCACCTATCCATTTTGCTTTGGAGATGGAGAAAACTACTCTGTGGGTTTTTGGTACATTTTCATCTAGGATCACTGCTGCTATGGTAACCAGCGATTCTGTTGGTTATCAAATCAATGTAGTTGGTACTTTTTTTAAAGGGTCACATTTGTCATCTCAGGACATATTTCCTTGTCTTGAATTTATAAAGGCTAGGTGACTTAGCATGTGTCAATTCGAGTTGTTCCAAGCAGTATTA